AATTTGGACATCAATATTTTTGGCTGCCTAACTCAGACTGGCCAAAAGCTTTTTTTGCTTATTCGAATACAAGTAATTTACAACGGAGGTATCCGTTACCCACCACAGTTTCTCCTAGGTAAGTTTATCATTTCCAGCGGAAAACTGTTGTTTCAGCATCAACAACACTGCAACAATGCTACAGAACAGGTAGGTTATTAATATTTTCCTGATAAGATCCCAAAAAAACAAGTCTTTTTCACCTGACCAACGGCAAAACCACTCATATATTCATCCCTAAAAAGGGTTGTACCTGGCACGCACCTTATACGTTTAAAAAGTTAACTATTAGAAAGTGCTTTACCACATACTTAACGGGTAAGAACAAATAACTGCAACAGAGGAACCTATGTATAAATGCGAGATTATGCCCAACTTAACAACAGAAAACTAAACACTAACCTTTTTTCTGCTTTCCAAACAGTTTCAAACACTTCAGACACGCACAAAAAAAACAAGTATAGATAATGTTTCTATTATTTGTTTTAGAACCGAGAAAAAAAAGTTTATTATCCACTTCAAAATTATAAAGATTATTATTGTAAAAAGATCACACTCAATTTAACAAAAGAATAAATAGTTCCATATACGAAACTAGAAACTTTTTTATTTTTTACATAAACTTGGCGCGACAACGAACGCGAGAGACGTCACCGCCGGCGGCACGAACGCCCACTGCATTCGGTATCTAGTGAGAAACTGGCGGGAAAATCTCACTCATCTCGCGCACAGCAGATTTCAATGCTGAATTTCAGATAGAAAATGTCCTCGGCGCGATTATGTTGCTTGCACTTAAGTAGCATTCTTCAATAGGGACGTGGGCAAACCTTTTTGTTTCGTCTATCAGATATAGTAAATATGAGTATACCTATAAAGGTATTATAAAAAAGCATTGAACTTGTATTTTTTTTTCTTTTTTTTTACAATAATCAAAACATTACAGTAATATATTGATTTGTAATGCCGCATGACGCCACGTCTTGGATATTTTTTACTTAGAAGTAACATCACAAGACCCCACTCTCAAACCTAGACGCGCGACAAAAGAAAAAAATATGTGTCCATTATTTTTTGATAACGCATCTGACGGACTAAATAAATTTTCGTTTACCTTAGCCCACCCGTTATCACCCTTATATTTCAAACTTAATTTACGCGTATAATTGGTTTAGGTACCTACTGTCTTGGTGGCTACTGTAAAATTTGGGCAATTTAGTTAGGTAATTAATTAGGTGGCATCACTTTGAACTACATCGTGTGAGAGGACCCTCTATCAAGTTCAATCAGGCTAATGCAATGAACTGTCACCACCGGCTTTAACCAGTGGACAGTCAAAAGCGCTTATCACTTTGATGCTCTGAAAATCCTAATAGTATTATACTTCGGTATTAGTCCTCCGTGTTAGTATTATTAATACTTGTAGTGCCGCATTATTGCGTCACAAAAAGGGTAAATAATACTTACATCTTCGGACTAATACCTCCTATAATTATGATAAAACTTCACACACAGATAAGTTCGTTTAATCATTAATTTTATAAATGTGAAGTATGTTTCTTTTAATTTTATTCCATCTCGCAAAAACGGCTGGACGGATTTGGTTGAAATTTGGTACTACTAATATAGACCTGGATTGAGGCATTGCGATTCTTTTAACCGTGGGATTCTGAGAAAATTAAGTATAACGAGAGCGAAGTCGTAGGCGGAAGCTAGTGCCTACCTTCTTACATAAGAATACAACTATATGAAGACAATCCAGATCGAGGACTGCATAAGTAGCTAAGGTTATACACAGACGGCTCCAAAACCAACTCAGGTACTGGTGCAGGTGTGTTCTCGGAGAACATTAACGTACATATATCATGTAAGAACATTGTACCAATAAAATAATATGAATTTGGTGTTTTAAAGTGATAAAATAGATATAATATGTTAATCATGTAAGTTTGATGTTCTAGATTAGAGCAAATTACAGACCATTTTGTCATTTTTTGTGCTTAACATACACTCACCCGTCTTGTCTCAGTCTAGTAAAATATCCGAGCGTAGCTATTTCTCTTACGTGAGATTGCCTAATTTTAATACCCAACTCGAAACAGGGAAAAGCTGTGTATGCCTACTCCCTTCCTGGCCGCGTCGAACGTGTTGCTCTATGCACATGTAAAAATAAATGAAATTAGTAAATAAATTTCATTTGAATTCGCAAAATTAAATCTTTTTTGAATCACGTTTAAAATGGTTACCTTATGTTACGGTACATAAAATATTAGTAGTCCTAAGTATAGGGAATCTGTTATTACTTACCTATATGCAGACGCAGTCGTGAGAGCATATCTAATAATTATTATTTAAGAGCGTACGTGTTACCGATGCATGTCCGTATTGAGCCTGTAATTGAATTATGCGAAAGCATTCATGCCTCCAAACATTTCATTAGACGGCCCCTGAACTCAAAGCTATGCGGATATTGTTCTCGAACTATCGTCTTGGCCACGGGCGTCTTAACATTTAATTAGAAGAGCAATTTAAACGATTCGTTAGACAAATAAAACGTGTTAAAATAACCCTTCTTAAAGTCAAAACAAAATTGCTTTACGAATGCTTTTGTAACATTTTGTTCTGTGATTTTCCCTAATTAGACAGTTAGGTAGGTACCTTTATTCATCGTATTTCATCGTAGGTAGGTACCATGTTCTGATGATATTGAATAATAAGTAAAAGCTTTTATTTAACTTACTTGCAATGTATGTATGCAGACCCCTCTTTCCCAGTGGGCACTTTGGGCAAGTGCCCAGGGCCCTGCGATCGATAGGGCCCCCGTCAGATCAAACACAGAGTCCCTAATTCCTGTTAAATCTCCAAACGGGGGTCATAGGGGCCCCATTATCCTAATATACCCAGGGCCTCCAATATGTCAAAGACGGCACTATATGTATGTTTGTTATGGTGGGATCTTGAAACTCAACTTTGAAGCAGATATCTACCTGCATTCGATTAAACTGAAATTTTGTTATTAAAACAGATGACGGACGAAGGTTTTTTTATGATTTCTTACAATATGGGTCTCAAATGAAAGGGATTGCTGAGAATAACTCGAAAAATAAAGTAGCATCACTTCAAATCCAATGTCCTCCATACTGGATTCGAAGTTAAGCCACTTAGAAAGATGGCGGACTAAGTTTTATTATGTTTTCATTTAATTCAAAAAAAAATACTAGAAAAAAATACACGCGTGCCAGGCAGCACACGGGACTCGAACGTCCACCGTCCGCTATCCGGGCACAGACCATTATGCTGCCGCGGCCCTATTATTTGGAATATTAAAGACTGCTGCCTGGTCCGCGTGAAATTTTCTCTAGTTAAATTTTCTTTAAATAAAATCATTGTCATTAAAAGTAACAGGTTGTTTTACTTCATTTCTAAGGCAAAGAGGGAGTCCATAAATTACTAGAGGTGTTTGTTTTTGAATTTTCTGTCACTGCCTCCGGGGGCGGATGGAGGGACTGGTGAGATGTCGTGAGATTTTATTATGGACACCCCTAAAGTAAATGACAGCAGTATTTTTAATCAAACTTAAAACTTGATTGACGTTTCGAGTGCGGCCGCAAGCCGGTTTATTTTAATGAAAGATTATTTAAACGAATGAAACCACCATTGTAGCTAAGATCATTGTAATTCGCCACAATTGCTACCTAATGGTAACTTTGGCTGAGACCGAACCGCTTTTGCTGCTGTAACCTCTCTTCTGACTTGATAACCTCCGTGGTTGAGTGGTTTGTACGCCGGGTTTCATGGTGTCGCCGACTCGAGAGGTCCCGGGTTCAAATCCCGGTGGGGGCAGATGTTTTGTGTGATGAATACGAGCATTTGCACTCCAGTCATGGATGTTTAATATTTATTTCTATATAAATATACTTATATATGTACTGTATATGTATTCTATCCGTCACCCTAGTATCCCATAACACAAGCCTTACAGTGCTTACTTTAGGACTAGGCCAATTGGTGTGAGTGTTGGAAATATTTATTTATTTATTTATCTTCTCCAGCATCACTTCCAGTCCTGAGATCACATAACTGAACACTACATGATTGATGATTGGTAGTTTTATGGATATACACTCACTACATCAACTCCATACCGACATCGGATCGCCTCGCTCGCACGCTGGCCGTGTGCTGGTCGATGGTTGTGAACGCGCTGCTCCTAAGTAGACGCGCGGTCTGCGAGTTGACAACTCATTTCATTTTCTTTTTTATCGAACGCAACCGCTATTAAAATTAATTCAGGGTTATTTGTTTCTTAGGTTTTCACGCACATCACTCATTAAATAAAACTAGTTTTTACGGGTTAATGCACGAAACTTTATTTATTTATTGACGTTTCGCAGCCTTTTCAGGTCTGCATCGTCAGAATAATTCAGGGTTTGTAAAATTAAACATTGTGAAAACACGTGTAAACCTAGTGACGATCTCTAACACATTACTTAATTTTCATTGACAACGCGCCATCAACTACGCGGCGATGCGGCGTTCACCCGTCGGCTACCTGACATCGACTGAAAAACATTTTTTTCCCCCAAAAATCATGGTTTGTCTTGAATGTTATTTACTTATTCGCTATTTGTTATCAAGAAAAGGACAACAATACAGTTCAGCCGTTTGGAGAGAGAAAAGAAAACGCAGTCGCCAAGCCAAGCAACGCGGACTCGCCGTTTCGCTTGCTCGATTGAATGTTTATTTACAGAAGTGTGCGTGCGTAAAGTTGCTAATGTAGTTGAGTCGGAGCACATTTTATTTGATGCTAGTATGAGCGTACCGTACCTTCCCTTTTTGTTTTAATCTAAGACGACAGCAATTACTTTACTCAAACTTAAAACTGTATTGACATCTCTGAGTGCGGCCATAAGCCATTTTATTTTAATGTGGGATTATTTAAACGAATGAAACCACCATTGTAGCTTAGATCATTGTAATTCACCACAATTGCTAATGATAACTTTGGCTGAGACCGTACCGCTTTTGCTGCCGTACCGCTCCATCTTCTTCAAAACGTCGAGTCCTGAGATCACGTGACCAAAAACAACATGCTTGTTGTCCAACCAGTCAGTCCTAAAAAATAAAAACAAATTAAGTAATCATCATCATCAGCCTATTAATGTCCCCACTGTTGGGACACTGGCCTTCCCTATGGATGGAGTAGGGAGATTGGGCCATGACCCACCACGCGGATCCAGTGCGGATTCATGGGTGCTGACGACTGCAGATGCAGCTATGCAGCTGGGACGGCTTAACGCGCCTTCCGAAGCACGGAGGCGCTCGAGATAGTAAATTTTTAGTCACCCATCCAATGACCGACCACTGCGAAAGTTGCCTAACTTCTACGATCGCAGCCGAAGCCGCTAACCACTTTCGCGGTCATTGGATGGGTAACCAAAGAATTATTATCTCGAGCTCCTCCGTGCTTGGGAAGGCAGAAGGCACATTAAGCCGTTGGTCCTGGCTGCATCTGTAGTCGTTAGCACCCACCATTCCGAATTAAACCCGCGCGCCCTAGTTAAAATAGTAATTAGCTACCAATAAAGGCTCATGTTAAGACATTTCTCCGCATTTTTTATGGTACGTTTACACGCTTGCCAAGCCTTGGTAAACCTCGACAATCGCAAGCATGTAAAAAGGGCGTTTGGCTTGGCTTGCGTGAGCTTGTGGGTGCTTGCTTACGATCCAGTCGAGTGTCGGTTTTTTTACGCAGATCAAAGGGCGTTTGCGGCAAGCGCTTGCGACGTATTTACATGTTGGTCCGCGTTTAGTAGCCATTGTGATCTCGCGGCGAGTACACAATTGCTTAATTATACAAAAAAATAAAAAATGAGTGGCTGGTCGAATGAGGAGTCTTTCGTTTCTGGAACATTACCAGATGGAATCCTGCATCTGGAATCCGAAAGATGCAAATCATAAAGATAAGAAGAAACAAGCAGATGCATGGATTCGTCTTGCTGAACTAACCGGAAGGCCAGTAAAGGAAATAAAAAAGAGATATTGATGTCGTCGAGCTCTCCTTTTTTTTGTTTCACTTTACTTGCATTTCAAATAAAAGTATGTTAAACCAAATGCAATAGCCGTCACAAGTTCGGTGTCCACCATGCTTGGATGTATGTTGCAGACTGACGCATTCACAAGCGTGTAAACGCCTTTCTAATGCCAAACGAGATTTGTGGAGGCTTGGAGCTGTTTGCCGTTTGCCAAAGCTTGGCAAGCGTGTAAACGTACCTTTATAATTATGTTGAATTGGTGATTTGGAATTCAAATTACTGAACATACCTTAAGTTATAAAAATATAACAGTTAAAGTAAAAATACTTTTAAGTATTTAACTGCTAAATGTTTAAACATAAAAAAATGGAATACTAGCGTAACAGAAAGAATACATATTCTGATACATATATAAGTATATTTATACAGATATACATATGACTGGAGTACAAATGCTCGTGTTCATCACACAAACATCTGCCCCCACCGGGATTCGAACCCGGGACCTCTCGAGTAGGCGTCACCTTAAAACCCGGCGTACAAAGCTCTTGGCCAAACTGATGGCTTAAAAAAATATTTTGTAAGAAGGACAGGCCCAATCTCCCTATTCCATAGATAATGCTATTCTTCAGCAAAGTAGAGGGGTGCTGATATGAAAAGGGTGATGAAAACCTTATTTGTAAGAAAAGGCACAACACATGGAATGGTATCACTATGTGTGATGTATGCCACACTGTAGATTTCACCGTATTACATTTTGGCTGTTAATAAATGGAGAAATTATGAATTATAGCGGATCGACAATATGCCTGATTGCGTTACGGCTAAACGGAAGTCTGCCATATTATATAGTAAAGTTCGCACCGAATAAAACTACTAGCCGTTCACAATTGAGCTGATTATTAGCCAACCCTTTGTGGTATTTTTAGGCCGAATTTCGACACTGGAGACTCTGCCTGCTATACAGTATTAATGTTGTTTAAAGAAATTTATTATTTACAAAAATCGTTCGCTGATTTATTAGAATTTACATACAAAGTAAGTACGAATCTGTTCTGGTTTGAGACTATGTAAATAAACGATACAGGCTTAAATTAAAACAAAAAGGGAAGATACGGTACACTCATACTAGCATCAAATAAAATATAATTCGACTCAACTACATGAGCAACTCCCACACACGCACACTTCTGTAAATAAACATTCAATCGAGCGAGCGAGACAGAATTGTACGCTTCAATGCAGCGCGAGCGAAACGGCGCGAGTCCGCGTCGCTTTGCAGCCGACTGCGTTTTCTTTTCTCTCTCTACAGACGGCTGAGTTGTATTGTTTTCCTTTTCTTGATAAAAAATGGCGAATTAGTATCTAATATTCATGACAAACCACGGTTTTTGAGAAAAATAATATTTTTATATTTTTACGAATGAACAGTGTTGCCGTGGCATTTGTTATTTGATCTTGAACTATTTGTGTTCTTTATAAAAGCATTGAATTCATTGTTTAATCTTTATAACACATAATATACGCAATATTGTTACATTGAGTGCACATGTATCGTGTTTGGATGTCTAATTGTGACTAAAGCGAATTGTGGTCATGCACCACAATTTAAGCGGATCACTTTTGAACCGTGACTGCCGTATCTTTTGCCCTTTTTCTTTTAATCTAACGATACAGATAATAAATAGTCGTAATTGTGAGACAGTTTACTCACTTAGCTGTACACAAAAAGAACTGCGATCCATTGGTATTGGGTCCAGAATTAGCCATGCTGAGTATTCCTGGGCCTGTGTGTTTCAAAGTGAAGTTCTCATCATCGAACTTGCGGCCATATATTGACTTCCCACCTGTCCCATTATTGTTTGTGAAGTCACCACCTTGACACATCTTTAGTTGGGTTAAGGAATATAAATAAATTCTTAGTCTTACTGGTTTCATATAAGAAATATACAATATTATGTGTGTTATTTTGCTACTCAGATTTCCTTATTTCTTTCTGTATTTTTTGTATTCTTAATAAAAACTTTTATTAACATGCATTTATTTGTAATCTCATAGTTATTATTAATTGTAATCTAATAATTAAAAAATATAGCAATTGTGTGACAGTAAAATATATGATACTTTATTTTCAATGAAATGCAATATCTCATGTAAGTACATAGACATATTTTATGCAACTGAAAACTTCTAACTTCTGAAAAAATTATGAACATAAAGAAACAGTAACCAAAAACATATGTTTTGATCAATATTTAAATTATATATTAATTCAAATAAAAAAAATATATATATATTTTTAAAGGATACAAAATCTGGAATAATCCTATGAAAACTGCTACCCTGATAGCCAAACCCTTTCTCATGTGTACATAGGGCTTTGAAGTTCTCTGCAGTTTTAGGTACCACATCCGCTCTCAACATCATAATTATCCTGCCGATCTCTTGTTTGCCGACACTTATATCAAAGTACACTTGTGGGTTTCTCTTCTCTGCTGGTTTCGCTGGAATAGCCTGAAATGTTAAGTATGAAGGATTACAGTTTCAGAATTATGGTCATACTCAAAAATGACAAGTAGGTAGTTTGGTTAGTTAGTTACAAAAGAAATTATTTTGTAGGTTGTCCAGAATTATTAATTTATTACTAATACAATATAAAACTAGAATTGCCCTGCGGTTTCACCCACATTAATTCGAAGAAAGGGTTATAGTGGGATTAAAGATAGACATATGCTGCAGACTATATAGTACTTTTAAAGGGGAACTATTCCGTCATACATGATTTTTGTGTAGTTTCTACTGTTTACACATAACTCACACTGGAAGCTCACAAATGGAATATTTTTTCTTGTTTTTGCAACATTTTTCATGCTTCTATTAGTTATGTTGTATAGCCTTCCTCGATACATACACACTCCAACACCACCACCAGTAGATTAGCGCATTTAACCAAACCAACAATCTTTTTGGCTTTATAATATTGGTAACAAACAAATATTTGAATATTATTCATATGATTTGACTTTAAATAAGTGTGCTTATCTGTAAAAGTATTTTTAGAGACTTACTAAGCAGGCACAACACTTATAATCAACATGCTACATTTATAATATTTATAAATATAACATGTTGATCATATGATTATTTTTTATATGTGCGGCCAAATTCAGTTGTTGAATTTTATATACTTCTACATTTATATCTATCGACCCACCTAGCATTTTAAGTTTTAACCTATGTGTTTTTGATGGTCCCTAACTAAAATTAAATATTGCATTGAGCAAAAAGTTTTTACAGAGTTTTGAAGCTGATTTATTACCATCTTTTTCGTGTGTTTTTGAATTTATATTATTATTGCTCAACCCAACTTAATTATATTTTTGCTACAGACTGTTGAAACTTCATAACACTAAGTGGGTCAATGAATGTGTTTACCAAGCTTTAAAATTCATAGTTTCTTTTTACATTGGAATGAAGGTCAAGCTTTAATAGCTAGTTTAGTCCTGTCTTTGAAACTATTGCTGAAGTTTAATCTTTTACATGAACTTACAGCTTTTTCTGTTTCTGTCTCCTGAGAGCCGTTTTCTTCATTATCTTTATTAATTGGTAATGTTTCCCCAGCGTGTTTCTGTAACCATGCATCATCTGACCACACAGGCCGCGTGGAGCCTTCTTTGATACGTTGAGGTGCCGCTATATTCACTCTTATTGTCCTGCCAAACAACTCGGAGTCATTCTGAAATAAATATCAAAAAGTACAGTGAAATTTTTTACACTTTAAGGTTAAATTATATTTCCTGTTTTAATAATTTCATTAATCTTCAAAGACTACAGTCAATGATTGTATATATCATCAGAGATAGTAGGTAGGTAAATAGTATGCATGAATCTGTTTAATATACCAACCATATTATCTATTGCGGCTGCAGCATCTTCAGCGTTTTCAAATTCTATAAACGCGAAGCCCCTATGTTTTTCAGTCTCATAATCTAGAGGAATTTGTACATCTACCAAGTCACCGAAGGGTACAAAAGCCGCATTCAAAACTTTTTCGTCCACCTCTTCGGCCAAGCCGCCCACATAAATAGTTCGTTTAGAATTCGGCTTACTAGACATTGCTTCAGAAATAAATTTTACTTAGACCAATATGTACTTGCAACTCATTTACTTTATATCTCTCCTTTAGGTAGGTATAATTATTATTTTTATTAAAACTAAAATAACCTCAAACAACAAAGCAAAACAAAAACTGGATTACTGTCAATGTCAAACAGAAAACTGTCACTGTCAGTGTGACAAATTTTTTTTTTTTTTTATATAATTTTATGGCTTGGATGCTGGTCCTTTAAGCCACGTCTTCGTCTATTCCTCATTCTTTATCTAAATGTTTATTAAAGTGGCTTTCACATATTTGAATAGTATAGGAAAATTCTTGGGATTTTTCAAGTAGTCTTCTAGGCGGCGGGAGACATTATTTACATTTTCACTTATTTCACAGAGTTCGCTTGCTAATAAAAGCCGTTGAATACTAAATTGACAGCATTCAAATATCAAATGATATATGTCACCGGTAGCAGTATTACAATACGGGCACATACTATCAGATATTATCTTCAGTTTTCCCAAATGAGCTGGTGTTTTGTGGTGGCCAAATCGCAGGCGATTTATTGTGGTGATAAAGTCACGGCTGGCTATTTTCAGCGTTGCATACCATGGCTTAGAAGGTATCTTCTCTTGTATGCTTCCATACCATTTGCCTTTATTTTGTTGATCTTGTTTCCACAATTTATTCCACAATTGATAAATATCCTTCCGTATTTCAGTATAATAATCAGTAAAAGGTACAGATATTAAGGAACTTACGTCCATAGAATTGATCCCATCATGTGCAGTCCTATCAGCTATTTCGTTTCCAGTGATACCTTTGTGTGATGGTATCCACATAAAAGAAACTTCAATTCCTTTCAGAAGTAACCTATGTACAAGCTCTCTAATACTATACAGAATATAATTAATCTTGTAATGAACTTTATGACATTCTAAACTTTTAATCAAACTAAGAGAATCGGTTAAAATGAGAAAAGAATTATAGTTATTTACAGTAAAAATTCGCTTAAGAGCCTCTAGGACTGCATACGCCTCTGCTGTAAATATGCTACATGCATTATCAAGAACAAAGCTTTGCGAGAATTTGATCTGGGGGTCATAAACAGAGCTTCTAACATATAAGTTTGATTTACTGCCATCTGTATATAAAGTGTAATAGTGATGCTCATCTAAAAAGGCTAGTAGGTCTTGATTATTGAAAATTAGACTTTCAATAATCCTAATTTCATTCATCTGAATAAGAAAGTGATTTGAATAAAAGGGCCATAATGATTTCTTTTGTAATCTATGATATTTATTTTGTAAGTAGAATAGGATATCGGACAACTTAGGGGATGTACCTATCTGCAGATCACAATACGTTGCCAAAGCTGATTGTGGTATTATTTTATTTATCACTTGCATATTGTTTGAAGAAAGCAATTTTATAAAGAATCTCTCTATTAAAAGTAATCTCCTAAGTGATAGTGGCATTATTACGGTTTCCACTTCCATGGCTCTGATAGGTGTAGAGCACATTGCCCCAGATATGATCCTTAAAGCTTTGTTCTGTATAATGTCTAATTTATTTACATTTTTACAATTTACATAAGCTATACAACTATAGTCAAAGTGACTTCTAACAATAGCTTTGTACAAAACCGAAAGAGTTATGGGATCGGCCCCCCATGTAACTCCAGCTAGGCATTTAATAACATTTAATCCTTTTAATGATTTAGATATAACATGTTCAATATGAGGTTCAAATGACAATTTTTTATCAATAAGAACTCCAAGGAATTTATGTTGGTTGACTTCCGGTATAACTTGGTTGTCAATCATAACTGCAGTAGATGGTAAATCTTTACTAAATATCATGGCATTGCTTTTTCTCGGGTTTATTTTTAACAGAAGTTTATCATTATAATAAGTTTTTATATTGCTTAAGGCTATATTTACATTCTTAATAGCAGAGTCCACATTGTAGTCTATACTATATAAAACTAGATCATCTGCAAATTGGAGAATATTTACACAGTTGGTATTTACATATTTACAAATTTCACATGTATAGAGATTATATAACAAAGGGGACAAAATGGCCCCTTGCATTGTGCCTTTAGAAGCAGTTCTTGGTCCATGTAATGTATTATTATATTTAACATAAAGTGTCCTATTGGTCAGAAAATTATGAATCCATTTACACAATAAGCCAGGTATACCTAAGCCAGATAGTATATGAATAAGAACTCCTGGTTGAATGTTGTCAAATGCACCTTGAATATCAAGAAAGGCACATGCTACACTTTTATATGGTTTTGCATTTTTCAGGTCTGTTATAAGAGAAATGAAGCTTTCTGCACAGCTCCTGCCACGTCTAAAGCCATACTGAATATTTGGTAAAATATTATTAGATTCAATAAAATGGTCTAAACGAAGCTTTAACATACTTTCAAAAATTTTACCTAAACAAGAGGATAATGATATAGGCCTATAGGAATCACATTCATCTGGTGGTTTATCAACTTTAAGGACTGGAATCACACATTGAGTTTTCCATGACTGTGGAATTAATTGTTTCATCCATAGTGCATTAACAATATCTAAAAATAACTTTTTGGCAGTAATGTTCAATTTAGTTATAAGAATATATGGAAAGTCATCCAAACCAGGTGAAGTATTTCTACGTGATTCGAGACTAGTCAAAAATTCGTACCATGTAAAAGGTTGTAATAAGTGTGAAGAATAACTGTTATTATTATTTAAATTGAAGATATTATTAAGGTGTTCGGTATCGTTAGAAGAATTATCAGATAATTTGTTTAAAAATGGAACAATAAATGTATCACAAAATGATTTGTTGCTTGGTTTTATTCTTTTAAACATTTTAATATTATTCCAAATAGTTGAAATAGGTGTAGTTCTGTTAAAACTATTACAAAGAGTTCTCCAACCATTCTTTTTCTCTTCTGCAATTATTCTTTTTTTGATAGCATCAATTTTTTTATAATTTATGAAATTTTCAATTGTAGGGAAACGTCTATAAAATTTTAATGCCTCTTTTGATTTAATCACACTGAGCTTACACCTTTCATTCCACCATGGAGTTGGGGGTTTAGTTCTATATTCAGATGTTTTAGACAATTTTGGAATACACTGTGATTTTAGCATTGAAAGAGTTTCACAGAAAAAATCATAAGATGCAAGAGGATCATTAGAATCGATAATAATATGATTAAAGCTTAATGTAGAAAGATCATTGTACCTATGCCAATTTGCCTTATTGTACAGAAATTTTTCACAAGGAGGATTAATGATATATTGATCTATTGTCAGGGTTATATCTGTAATTGTTGGGAAATGATAACTACCCATATTATCATCGTGGACTGACCATTTACACAGTGGAGTAATACTTGGACTAGCTAGAGAAATGTCTATGGCCGATGGATTGCGATTGGGATATTTTAGTGTAGTAAAGTCGCCTTCATTTAATATACATAAGTCTAGCTCATCAATAATAGAATATAATTGCACACCACGGCTTTTAGAGGACAAAGAGCCAAAAGCAACATGGTGAGCATTGAAATCCCCTGCTATGAAAATAGGTACGGGCAGACTTTGTATAATATTACGTAATGCATTTATTCTTAAAGGACCTGAAGGAGGGCAATAGACACAAAGAATGGTTAAATCGCCATTACAAGTAGATAAAGATAAAGCTACAGTTTGGATATCTTCGTAAAAAACCATTGATAGAGCTTTGTATTTAAAAATGGGTTTGATAAGAATAGCGACGCCACCATGTTCATTTAAGGCATTCTTATAATAAATGTTATAGCCAGGGATGGAACAAGGCCGTCTGTCTTTTATCCAAGTTTCATTTAAGAGGCAGATGTCTATGTTATTATCTCTCAAGAAATTAACTAAAAGGGGAATCTTATTGTAAATACTTTGAATATTAAACTGTGCAATCCTTAACGTCGTTTTATTACTGTTACTAAAATTATCCATAATTAAGTAAGGTTTTTAATTAATAATTCTTTAATTGACGTAGAAGTTATGGGAGAATCGTCCCCTTTGTTAGCTATTGTTACTAGAGTTCGAACTATTGCGTTTGTGATTTCAGAGTTATTAATCAATTGATTCTTAAGTTCGTCTAACGAAATGTTTTTATGGGATGCAGGCTTTACAAATTGTACTTTATTTTTTTGTATTAAAGTTGATGGTTGGACATTATGACTATCTGTTTTATTTACATGTTTATTATGTACAAGAGTAGGAAATTGCTCCTCGTAAATTTTATCCTTTAACATATTGGTATTATTAGTAGCGGCAGTACTGGCATACGTGACTTTACTTTTCTTTTCTTGGATCTTTTTGACTTTAACAGGACATAAATTCGATATTGCCAAATGTGGACCACTACAGTTAGCACAGTTAAGTTCATTAGGCTTATTGCAATCTTTATAGAAATGCTCTCCTGAACAAATACTGCAACGTTGTTTACCGTTACAAACTTTTGCCGAATGATTAAATTTAAAACAGCGATAGCACTGTTGCAGAGGAGGGATATACTCAAATACTCTATATGAAAATAAGTCATATTGTACGTGATCAGGAAGGTTGTTAGCCAGGAAAGTAATACTAACAGTTTGTAAAGGTACTCTTTCATGGCCTACTTTTTTAATAAATCTACGCACAGCTATTATTTCGTACATCGAGGATAATTTACAGTAAAGTTCTTTATTAGAAATGTTGGCTGGTACATGTCTGATAATTCCAGTTTTTTCAATTTGAGCAGCCGGTATGTACGCTTTCATTTTATATTTATCCAAAAAAGCAGTGTTCATCAGAAAGTTATTTGCAGTATTATACTGCTTAAACACAACTGCAATTTTTATTGCATTGACCCGGTGAATGGCCACCACGCCTTTGATATCAGTGGTAAATATGTGGTTTAAATAAATTGGGCTCTTGTTGCCTAGTCGATCATTGTTATCAGTTTGTACAAATACTTTATACTCAAAATTGGTAGAATTTTCAGGGTAGAGTCTTTTGTAATTTGGTTTAAAATAGGGTAAAAAGTGCGAACTTTCCTCACCGCCGCCGATCGCATCAGTATTTTCGTCCAGTGAATTCATTTTTCTTGGTCTTTTTCCCGCAGATCCCGAACCTG